GTCCCTGGGACCAGGCTCTGAGATTACTATGTGTTTTGCCCCTCCCACCAACTGCCCCTCTTTCCTGCCCAGGCACAAATAATTCTTATTTTTGGAGGGAGCATGTCACATAATCCCTATGTTTGTCAAACTATATGTCCTATTTTAACCACACAGACAGACACATAAAGAGTGCTGGGGGCAGCAGCTAACTATTCAGAAGGTTGCCTGTTCTGCTTTAATGCTGCTATTTTTTTTTTATTGGCTCCAGCAACTCTCACAAGATATGAACTATAGGTGAAAAAATATTACCCAGAATGATCTTCAATTTACTTCTTTATTTTTCCTCATGTCTGTGGAGTTGCAACCTCAGCTAGGAGCATCTGGATCTCCAAAGGCCTTTTTCCACCTCTCCATGCTTGGGCCATGTGCCGACTCCATGAAATTCTGCTACTCTGACCAATCCTATTTTTGCGTTCCTCAAAATGGGCATATTTCCCCTGAACCAGGGACTCCAAAATAGCCTGAAATCTGTCCAAGTAGCAGCAACAATCACCTTAGCTAAAGTTTAGAAGGATCATCCTTTTTGGAGATAAATCTAACCAGAATGGCGGGGGAGGGGGGGGAATCCGAGAAACTGAGGTGCAGAGCCAACTTCTAAATCTCCTCTACCACTATTGCTTCCTGCAAAGAATTCAGAGGGGGGGAAATCACTGAGTGGAATCTGCTGTGATTTTGCTTAATTCCACTTGTGAGTTAGTCAGATTAAGAGTGCCATGAGAATGTAGACTGCTAAGTAGCCAAGGATGTTTCACATGTCTTAATTACAGCATGTTTATATTTCTTCTTTATGATGTTCTGCTTCCTACCAAATTAAAGGGGGGAGGGGGAGTCTCAAGGAGAAAATTCCCCAGGCAAACAAGACATATGGCTGCATCCTATCAAGCCTAAGAAGAGTTCTGTTTTTTTACAAATGCCATTTATTTTACAAACCACAGAGCATACTACACAAGACAATCTCGTTTCAAAATTTAGAAGGAAAACAAGAGAGCTCTTTCTGCATTGCACATCCAAAGCATTGCTGAGTTGCACTCTCATGTCCTCTTTGGTTCAAATCTGATTGGACCAAATTGTGTGCACCAACTGTCCTCAAATATGATGCCAAAGCCATATGACCCAACGGCCTCGGAACATGTCTGTGGCTCTGCTTCCAACAAAAGTTTGGTTCTCCAGAAAGAGATGCCATGGAAATTCTTCAAAAATGATGGCCATACAGCCAAGTCTGCCCTCAGTTCCTAGTCATATGCGCCCCATGGTGTGGGTGAATAAGCCCTGCCATGGCATCATAAGGCCAATGCAAGAAAGTGCCACCCTGGTATAATCACCAAGGCGGACAAAATTTAACAACTGAATTTAACAACCGAATTTGGTGCTCCAGGGAATAAACAAGCATCTAAGCAATGAATCTCGGTCCACATTCCTGCCCTTTTCTTAATTGCCCATTCCCAAAGGAACTAAGCCTGCCTTTCCTGAAAATAGTGCACACATGGGGACGGAGAAGGCTCAACAAGATTAAGATCAGAAGCAGAAATGTTTTGTTATTGCAGGGGAGAAAAGCGAGAAACATACAGCCATTCCTGAAGCCAGCACTGCAGTCCCTTCTCTAGCTGAGATATAGGGCTGAGCTCCCTGGTGTGGCTGGAGGGAAGTCAGCTCGTCCCTTAAATAGGGACTAACCCCCTCCTCAGACCCCCCTCAGGAATGTACCAATCGGCACCAAGGATTTTCCCGCTCTGCCCCTCTCGCCCAAAGGTTGCCCTACAAAGTGAAGGCGGTGGAGGTCCTGTGTGAGTGTCTGGAGGCGGTTGGAGGATGGATGGTGGCTAACAGATTGAGGTTGAATCCTGACAAGACAGAAGTACTGTTTTTGAGGGACAGGAGGCAGGCAGGTGTGGAGGACTCCCTGGTTCTGAATGGAGTAACTGTGCCCCTGAAGGACCAGGAGCACAGCCTGGGAGTCATTTTGGACTCACAGCTGTCCATGGAGGCACAGATCAAATCTGTATCCAGGGCAGCTGTCTACCAGCTCCATCTGGTACGTAGGCTGAGACCCTATCTGCCTGCGGACTGTCTCGCCAGAGTGGTGCATGCTCTGGTTATCTCCCGCTTGGACTACTGCAATGCGCTCTACATGGGGCTACCTTTGAAGGTGACCCGGAAACTGCAATTAATCCAGAATGCAGGAGCTAGACTGATGACTGGAAGCGGCCACTGAGACCACATAACACCGGTCCTGAGAGATCTGCATTGGCTCCCAGTACATTTCCGAGCACAATTCAAAGTGTTGGTGCTGATCTTTAAAGCTCTAAACGGCCTCAGCCCAGTATACCTGAAGGAGCATCTCCACCCCCATCGTTCTGCCCGGACACTGAGGTCCAGCACCGAGGGCCTTCTGGTGGTTCCTTCACTGTGAGAAGCCAAGTTACAGGGAACCAGGCAGAGGGCCTTCTCGGTAGTGGCGCCTGCTCTGTGGAATGCCCTCCCACCAGATGCCAAGGAAATAAGCAGCTATCCTAGTTTTAATAGACATCTGAAGGCAGCCCTGTTTAGGGAAGTTTTTAATATTTAATGCTGAATTGCTTTTAACACTTGCCCAGAGTGGCTAGGGAAACTCAACCAGATGGGCGGAGTATTAATAATAAATTATTATTATTATTATTATTATTATTATTATTAATTATTACTACTACTACTACTACTACTATAAAGGGGGTCTGGAAATATGCCAGTCCCCTTTAGCCAAATAAAGGCAGCGGCGTTGTGGAAAGAGTTCAGATTTATTGCAGATTGCAGTAAGAATGGATGATCCAGAGGAATCTTCTAAATCCCAGACCCCAAATACAAACTACAAGGCACTTTTGTAACATCCTCTTTATGATTAGCTCATGAATGCTCCCTTTCAGCTATAGGATTGGATAACTGAATGTGTGGGCAGCTTGTGGGCCCCTAAAACTAATATAATTGGTCAGAACAGCCTGCTCCTAAATTACTACAGCAACAGGTATATTTGAGCAAAGCATAAATTCGCGATTCTTCCGCCTCATGCCAAACCTTGCTTTTCCGCTATCTGCTGCATGAAGACTTGTCTGCATCAGGAGAATGCACAACTCTGAAGTTGTGAAGACCAGTTGCGCTTCTGCCATGTGGAGCTGGTAGGAGAGGCCCAACTTGTCAGCAAAAAACACAAAAAAATGCATATTCATCTCACAGCAGGGAAGCTGTGGGATCTAACGAGCATTACACTAAGTGTGTAAAACTAATATATAAACATTTCCCGACTAACACACCTGCATCTGGTTCTATTCGAGGTTTAATTAGCAAACTGGCAGTTCAAGCTCTTAAATGAAAAACAAGAGAAGAGATGGAGGATAAAAAGCTAGGTTTGTGGGTGCTGTGGGCTCTGACATACTTCCTGGGACCCAACGTCTACCTGGGTCCCAGATCATAATGTCATGTGACAAAGGTATTTGGGTGCCGAAGCTGTAAGGGAAGCAGAAGTCTAGAAATGTTGTGAAATGCTGAAAAGCTGCAGAATCATTTAGCATGCTGAATCACTGTGACTCATCTTGAGGATGATTCATTCTCTGTATAAGTATTGTATCTGCTTGCAGGAAGACTCTGAGTATGTGTTTGTGGTGGAGCTTGTGCTCAATGGAGACTCTGTGACTCAGGAACTCTCCGCATGCTCTGAAGCTAGTTTAATCTTCTGTTCACTATGCTGTTATTTGCAAACAAATTTATTTTAACACAGTAAAGCTTTTATTCTTTTACTGAAGAAGACTCTGTATTATTAATTTAACCCAGGAGTAGGCAAACTAAGGCCCAGGGGCTGGATCCGGCCCAGTCGCCTGCTCAATCCGGCCTGCAGACGGTCTGGGAATCAGCGTGTTTTTACATGAGTGTGCTTTTATTCAAAATGCATCTCTAGGTTTTTTGTGGGGCCTGCCTGGTGTTTTTACATGAGTAGAATGTGTTCTTTTATTTGAAATGCATCTTTGGGTTATTTGTGGGGCATAGGAATTTATTCATTCCCCCCCCAAAAAAAAATATAGTCCAGCCCACCATGTGGTCTGAGGGACGGTGGACTGGCCCACAGCTGAAAAAGGTTGCTGACCCCTGGATTAACCTGAATTAAACTTAACCTGAATAAAGCCAAGGCACCAGAACTTTCTCACTGGGTTACCACCAGTGTTCAAAACTCCCATTGTTCTAGGCGCATTTTGCAGAGTGGAAGGGAGGACCTTTTTCTGCCTCCCCTCTTCCAGTTACAGTGGTGCCTCGCAAGACGAAATTAATTCGTTCCGCGAATTTGGTCGTCTTGCGATTTTTTTCGTCTTGCGAAGCACGGTGTCGGGAAAGTTTTGGAAAAGCTTCAAAAATCACCAAAGTCTTTAAAAACCTCAAAAAAGGCTACCACACCGCGTTCTATGGGTTGCTCCTCGAAGTCAAGTCGCAACTGTATTAACGGTGTTAAGAAAAAGGAAACAAACTTGCAAGACGTTTCCGTCTTGCGAAGCAAGCCCATAGGGAAAATCGTCTTGCGAAGCAGCTCAAAAAACAAAAAAACCTTTCGTCTAGCGAGTTTTTTGTCTTGCGAGGCATTCGTCTTGCGAGGTACCACTGTACCCTCTGAAGACTGCATAAGAGACCCTCTTAAGACTATTGGGGGGGGGAACTAGACCGTGTGGAAAATGAACATAAGATTTAAGCTGCAGTTCATTCCTTTTCAGCTTTGTATTCTTGTTATTTAAAAAGTGCACCGGGACATTCCCTTGGTTTAAGGTGCCATTTAGCTCCTAGCTTTCAGATCTCAGTTTCTAACACTGGTTACCACAATGGGCTCCTAAGAATACTAAGAAGACTATCAGTAACAACAGAGGGCAGCCATCTTTTTGTACATAAAATTGCACAGCAAATGGTAACCACACAACCAACATATCTTCTCCTGTTTCCACTTGCAGCAGCAGCAACAACACCACACCCCCTTATGGAAAGTTACAGAAGCTGTACCATTGGCACTACTAATGGTAAGTCCAACCCCTAAGAAACGTCTGCAGAATTGCAGGGAAATTCCCCTAGCTCGCTTCTCTCATTGCAAAATAGAGCAAAAAAATTACAAAAGGTCAATTGTACACGGCTCTATTTCCTACCTTTGAAACCAGCTTGCTTTCCAGGTTAAAACTTGCATTGATGAAAGCTTACAATCCAGTTAGGATAAACATTTGATCAAAAATAACAGCTTAAACAGCAAGGAAAGAAAGAACCCGGCCAATGCTAATGAAAGCATCTTCTGTGGTTATATCAGACCAACTAATAAAAACGTTCCTGTAAGGGAGTATCGTATCGTAACTCTGCCTTCTAAAACCTTGAATCCCCAGTTATCTTCATAGAGCTCCCTTTGCAGGAGATAAACAAAGTACAGTGGTACCTCAGGTTAAGCACTTAATTCGTTCCGGAGGTCCGTACTTAACCTGAAACTGTTCTTAACCTGAAGCACCACTTTAGCTAATGGGGCCTCCTGCTGCTGCCTGCGCCGCCGGAGCACGATTTCTGTTCTCATCCTGAAGCAAAGTTCTTAACCTGAAACACTATTTCTGGGTTAGCAGAGTCTGAAACCTGAAGCGTATGTAACCTGAAGCGTATGTAACCTAAGGTACCACTGTAAGAGCTGCAATGGTCAACATCCTGGTGCTGATAGCCACAGGCCACATTTCAATAGGAGTATAGCATCTAGATCAAGGGAAGTTATAGCGCCACTGTATTCTGCTCTGGTCAGACCTCACCTGGAGTACTGTGTCCAGTTCTGGGCACCACAGTTCAAGAAGGACACTGACAAACTGGAACGTGTCCAGAGGAGGGCAACCAAAATGGTCAAAGGCCTGGAAACGATGCCTTATGAGGAACGGCTAAGGGAGCTGGGCATGTTTAGCCTGGAGAAGAGGAGGTTAAGGGATGATATGATAGCCATGTTCAAATATATAAAAGGATGTCACATAGAGGAGGGAGAAAGGTTGTTTTCTGCTGCTCCAGAGAAGCGGACACGGAGCAATGGATCCAAACTACAAGAAAGATTCCACCTAAACATTAGGAAGAACTTCCTGACAGTAAGAGCTGTTCGACAGTGGAATTTGCTGCCAAGGAGTGTGGTGGAGTCTCCTTCTTTGGAGGTCTTTAAGCAGAGGCTTGACAACCATATGTCAGGAGTGCTCTGATGGTGTTTCCTGCTTGGCAGGGGGTTGGACTCGATGGCCCTTGTGGTCTATTCCAACTCTACGATTCTATGATTCAAGTCTTCTCCTGATGGCCACAAGACACAGTTAGGTGAGCACTTGTGGAAAGAGAATTCAGCATTCTAAATTGTTAGAGAGGTGTCCTGAAGCCATTTCTTTACACACAAAATGTATGCATATTGATTATTAAAACTCTTTTTCCTTAGCTTCTAGAAGTGCCACGGTTTAATTTTCTTCCCCCCTCCACCCATCCACCGGTGTGATAAGTCTTCTTGCTAACTTGCGGTATATAACAGCATGATGCACAGCATGTCATAGGAAGATTTGAAAATATGCATATTTAGCTACTCTTGCTTCCTGCATGAGTTTGCTACACGAGTCTTGGAGGAGGCATTAGGGTTTCTCAGGAGGTAGCAACCATGCCTACTTTTCGAGGCTGTAATAACCAACATTAAAAAAATATATTTTGAACTTGTGCAAATCAGCACTTATGGTCATTTGACTTCAGTTAATTATGGACTGGAAATGCTTTTCCATTTACTTTCAAATCCACTGCGGATCATCCGAATTGGTATGCTACAGCGCCACAGGGAGTAACCTGTGTACTATCTCCATTGGCATATGGTAAGAGTTTTTCCCCTCTCACTTTACTGGCCAGTTTTACAAACAGCCCATTAATTTTTCATGCTGTAGCAGTTTTTGGCATAACTTCTGTAAGACTCAACATTTGCTGACATGGCATTAAAAACTTTGATGAAATGGGGGGAAAAAACAAAAACAACCCACTCCTTTTAGGCCATTCTGCTGATACTGCCTAAAAAATATTTTTTTGTCTCTCTCTTGTGCTGTGTTTTTATTCATTGACACAGGTTCATAAAAACTATATCCATTCATTTAAGAGCTCGTTTGCTTTGACAGTTCATCTCTTTTGCATGCCGCTTCTGGGCGGTTTTTCCAAAGATGCACAGAATGTTACAAAACAAGGGTCTTCATTTAATAATAAGGAGGGCACATCTGAGTTGGCAGCATCATGCACAATGAATCTGGGGCTACAGCACAAAACTAGCAGCATGAGGAGCAACCCAGGTAAGAGACCCTTGCGCTCATTCTGGGATGGCAACTGTGTGTAACTGAGCTGTGCAGGCTGATGGACAAATGATGTCAGATGGAAATACTCAGTCTAAATGAATAAACTAAGCAGCACTGTCAAAGCCCATGTAATTCTCTAAATTTGAGCAACATGCTCCAACATTAACTGACAAAACAGGCAAGCTTTATCTTTCTTCTATTGAAAACACCCTTAAGGTTAGCTTCTGCAAATAATGGCTTGATTCAGACATACAGTGGTACCTCGGGTTACATACGCTTCAGGTTACAGACGCTTTAGGTTACAGACTCTGCTAACCCAGAAATAGTACCTCAGGTTAATAATAATAATAATAATAATAATAATAATAATAATTAATAAATTTATTTATACCCCACCCTCCCCAGCCAAGACCAGGCTCAGGGTGGCTAACAACCAATAATAAAAACAAGTTGACTAAAATACAATTTAAAAGATTAAGATACAACATTAAAACATTAGGATGCAGCCTCTTCACAGGGAGGAGAAAGTTAAGAACTTTGCTTCAGGATGAGAACAGAAATCGTGCTCCGGCTGCGCGGCAGTAGCAGAAGGCCCCATTAGCTAAAGTGGTGCTTCAGGTTAAGAACAGTTTTAGGTTAAGAACGGACTTCCGGAACGAATTAAGTACTTAACCCGAGGTACCACTGTAATGGTAAACCATGGTTTGGCATTCCGAGAACAAGCCATGGCTGGTTTCAGGCTTATTCATTCCCCACTCCCTTCTCCTCCTCCTTTGTGCATGAGAGCACAAAATGGAAAGCATCTACTTCCTCTTTTGAATAAGTCACAGTCTCCTCTCATGTAAAAAAATTGGGGAACTATGGTTTATTTTAAATGTGATTTGTTCAAATGAACTAGGATCAAATCTTGCGTTCAGATCCTGCTTTGATAACTAACCGCATCATAAACCACAGGTTTCCGAGGTTGGATATAATGAGAAACTGCAGTTTGTTCAAAATTTAAAGTGGAAGCTTTCAGTCCCACATGCACATAGGAATTGCAAAGGCTAAGAAGCAGCGTGTGAATCCAACATTCGCCACACCTCATTGTGGTAACACTAAAGTTTAGTGACTAAACCATGGCAGAGCGTTGTCTGAACTAGGCCAATATGTGGATCTCCTCAGTAGCACAGAATTATAGAATCACAGATTTGTAGAGTTGGAAGGGACCCAGAGTGTGATCTAGCCCAACTACTGCAATGCAGGAATCTCGACACAAGACAAAATGTTAATATTTTTTTTACAAAGTTTAAAATTGATAAATTATCTCAAAAAAAACAACAACCCAAACCCAGCTGAATAAATTGTTGTAGTATCCCGTATATAACACAGGAAACGATAAATTAAAATGAGATTTGGTAACTGTAAATTGGGAATTTAAAATTGGGGCTATAGACTTCAACCAGTTTTTAAACTAGGATTGCAGACATTTTTTCTTGCAAGTGAAGCTGCTTCAGGTATGGTGATGAAATTATGGGGAAGAGCTCCACTTGCTAAATGCCTTCATGGCACACATCTGTTTAAAAATCCAAAACTAAAGAAAGTAAGCAAATGGCCAAATCTGATTTAAAATCAGTATAATTCTTGTAACTTGCACAAGCATAAACTTTGAGGGGAGTGGTACTTTTAGCTATGGTAAAAAGGTCAAGGACCAAGGACTTTGCTCATTCCCTTCTCCTTGCTCTAGCATAAATTCTGTTATTGACTTTCTTAGCCATGGTTCAGCATTACATCTACACTGATGCAAACCACAGTTGACTCTAACCGGGTTTGCAGACACTGTTCAATATCCCCACTTAAGCAGACCATAGTTAGCATGCAGTCACTCTAGTCTAGCATCTTAAGCATGGTTCAGAAAATGTCAACAGTAAATCTGTAGTGAGTGATTTCTCTCTGTTGTTTCACTGATGCAGTAATATCCATGGTTGGTTTAAGACTAAAGCTTTGATTGCATACTGCATACTGGTTTAAGACTAAAGCTTTGATTGCATACTGCAGTTATATATTAGTTATTTATACCAAGATATGTGCAATGCTTTTCCAGCAATAGCACCTTCTCATAACACCACCTGCAATATCAGCAGATAACAATAGCACCAGTGGTAACAGGAAAATATAAAATAAGTTAAGCACCTTACCTTTCCGCACCAGTCATTCTTTGGAACTAACTCAGCTACAATTCTCTGAACTACCACCAAAGTATCACTGAAAACATGACTCCATACTTAACAGCTCCACAATGAGCTTCTTAACTCTTCTGTTTACCTCAGTATTTTAATTTGCACTGGTCTGATTAGGAGGAAGTAGTAATGGCAAAGCAGATGGTTGTCAGAAATCTGCTTACCGCAATTATGCATTTGAGAGTTTGGTGAGCTGCGCTTTGCAGCTCAGAACGCTATGAAATATTCCTGCATTAAAAGGCCTCCCAAAATCAAGAGCTGGAAGAATGTTTGGTGCTTATCATTCATGTTGTCATTTGGGGCTTTTTTGCTTTTCCAGAAGGGTGAAATGTATAAAGTACAAATGCGGAAAAGTGAGACAAAGTCCTGTTTTTTAAAAAAATAAATTAATTAAAAACACAAACATATCATAGAAGCTTCAGATCCTTTCTCAATTAACTTTCAAAACAACCTGGAACAATGGACTCCTCTACAAAAATCAGAATGATT